CACTCTGCACCGCGCCCCCCTTCTCAACGGAAAGGCCCCCATTCGTGAAATTGTTTTCATCATTCCGCCCCCGCGAAAGAATTCTTAGAGGGCCCACGGAGGCTCCAGGAGGGCCCATGGCGGCCCAGGGAGAGCCCACGAGATCTCAAGAGCCCCCTGGAGGACCCACTTTGAATTCTTTACGCTTCGCGTATCCCCACCAGCCCATCTCACAGCAGCAACTCTTGCGAAGCATGCCGACAGTCGTGTTTTTCAGGCGTGTGTCCGCTTGGCCCCGCATATCTCCCCTGTTCCTCCTTCCTCCCGCCTCCTTGTACATCCTCCTTGTGGGGGGAGCGGGAGAAGGACGAGGCGGAGGAGGAGGGAGAGAAAGCGCTCCTCGTGGTTTGAGTCGTTTGGGGTTTCTCGTCCTGGTGTGAGTCGTTCGGGCCCTTCTTCCTGGTGTGAGTCGTTCGGGCTCTTCGTGGTGTGAGTCGTTCGGGCTCTTCGTCCTGGTGTGAGTCGTTCGGGCTTCTCGTGGTGTGAGTTGTTCGGGCCCCTCATCCTGGTGTGAGTCGTTCGGGCCCCTCCTCCTGGTGTGACTCGTTCGGGCTCCTCGTGGTGTGAGTCGTTCGGGGCCCGCGTCGTGGTGTGAGTCGTTCGGGCTCCTCGTGGTGTGAGTCGTTCGGGCGCCTCGTCCTGGTGTGAGTCGTTCGGGCCCCTCCTTGTGGTGTGAGTCGTTCGGGTGGTGTGAGTCGTTCGGGCCCCTCGTCCTGGTGTGAGTCGTTCGGGCTCCTCGTGGGGCCTCTTGGGGGCCTCTTGGAGCCTCTTGGGGCCTCTTGGGGGCCTCTTGGGGGCCTCTTGGGGGCCTCTTGGGGCCTCTTGGGGCCTCTTGGGGGCCTCTTGGGGGCCTCTTGGGGACCTCTTGGGGCCTCTTGGGGGCTTCTGGGGGGCATATTGGAGGCCTCTTGGGAGCCTCCTGGGGGCCTCTTGGGGCCCCTCAGGACGCCAAAATGGGGCCAAAACCCTAGTAAAATCAACGATTTTGGCTTCAAAGAAGAGCAGAGGGGCCAAACTGTATCCCCCCGACGGGGCCAGAATCCTCGTGAGGGTCGTCGTTTTTTGGCCCTCCCAGGAGTCGAAAAAGACCCCCCTGACTACGCCCCGGACTCCCTGTCCAGGTCCAGGGGGAGGGGGTAGGGGGAGGGGTAAACCCTTCCCCGAAGGGGAAGAAGGGGGGTTGAGGACAGAGCGGGCTCTCTAGACCACTCACGCCCAGAGGGCTGGTGGGATCACACTCAGGGAGCTCCAGAGGGCCGAGGAGGCTCCAAAAGGCCCCAGGAGGCCCCGAAGAGCCCAAACAGGCCACAGGACCCCCCGCACGCTCTAGGCAGCACGCTCTAAGAGAGCCAAGGCGACACCAAGAGGCTCCAGGACGGGCGTCATTCCCTCTCTTCCTCCTGCTCGTCGTCGTCATCCGCCTCCTCATCCGTCCTGCTTTTAATCCTTCCTCTCCTTTTCGTCCTCCTTTTCCTCCTCTTTCTCCTCCTTCTCCTCCGCCTCCTCTTCTTCCTCCTCCTCCTCCTCCTCTTCCTCCTCCTCCTACCTCATCCGTAGCCTCGATGGCTCCGATAGCGCCGTGCGCGAGATCCGCCTCCTCCCCATCCGTCCTCCTCCCTCCTCCCTCCTCCTTCCCTCCTCCCTCCTCCCTCCTCCCCTCTCTCGGGAGCGTCACAAAGAGGCCCTCCGAGGATAATTTCACGACAACAAGGGCGCCGACACGATGAACAGACACCACGTCGGGGCTCTGGGGACGGAGTCGAAGACGAAACCTCGAATAACTTAGTCCTCGGTGTTCAGGTTTTTTTTGACCACCTGCGAGCCTTGTGGAAACTTCCGAAAGCCTCGGGGGTGGACGTCTGGTGCAAGCAAACGGGTGGAGGAGGAGACAACACGACGCTCCACGGAGTAAATTGCACCCAGTTGGTTTCTACCCCCGCGAGGGGCGTTACAGGGTAGTAGTAGTAGTAGTAGTAGTAGTAGTAGTAGTAGTAGTAGTAGTAGTAGTAGTGGTAGTGGTAGTGGTAGTAGTAGTAATGATAGTAGAAGTAATAATGATAGTAGTAGTAGTGATGATAGTAGTAGTAGTAGTAGTTGTAGTAGTAGTAGTAGTAACTGTAGTAGTAGCTGTAGAAATAGTAGCAGTAGTAGTAGTAGTAGTAGTAGTAGTAATAGTAGTAGTAGTGCTAGTGGTAGTAGCAGCAGTGGTTGTAGTAGTAGTAGTAGTAGTAGTAGTAGTAGTAGTAGTAGAAGTAGTAGTTGTAGTAGTAGTCGTAGTAGTAGTAGTAGTAGTAGTCGTAGTAGTAGTAGTAGTAGCAATGGTAGTAGTAGTAGTAGTAGCAGTATTAGAGTAGTAGTTAGTAGTATGGTAAGTAGTAAGCAGTAGTGTTAGTAGTAGTAGTAGTAGTAGTTAGTTAGTAGTGTAGTAGTAGTATAGTAGTAGTAGTATTAGTAGTAGTAA